GGCTGTCACTATTGCTACTGATGCCCAATTCAATTGGAAGGTTTGAACCAAGTTCCCAGTGGGAAAGTGAAGATAATGTGACCTTGTGGGTAGTGCTCTTCACCATTATTACGGCTTGCTGAATGTATAACTGGTATTGATCCCGTAAGTGTCAAGGAGGATTATCCCATTCGGGGACTGCCACATACTGAGCTGATACTATCCCCTCCTTGGTCCAGGAAAAAAATATATATATAAATCCCAAGAAGAGAAAGGGAAAGCACAGCTTTAAAGACGGAATGGGCAGCTGGAGCGCCCAGGGGCAATTCTCCATGATAATAGCACCCCCTGCTGGACGCAGGCACCAAGTACATACTTTTTTAAAGGGGCAGCTATCAACCTACTACCATACTAATTAAGCTCTTGCCGAAATTGAGTGCCTGCCATGAAGGCCTTAGGACCCCTGCCACTTTGGGGTGGGCCAACTTGGAATCTATGCCTAATAAGGAAAGGGCTCAACAAGCCTCACTGGTCAAATGGAAATGGTATATTGAAGAGTATAGCTGACCCGGCCTTAGACATTTTGATTTCACATGAAGAGATGGTAGCTCTTCCTTTGGGAAAAACTACCTTTCTCTCCACCACCTAAAGCAAAGCCGCTGTCTCAGTGGAGCCCTTGATGCAGAGGTTCTTCTCAATGCTTGTGCCTGGTTCACTGATGGTTAGACTAAACTAAAAGCTGATGGAGTCCACCGGCAGCAGCAGTCATCCTGCCCCTGTGACAACTCCGGAAGGCTGCCTGCAATAAAGGGTGATGGGCATAATGGGCTGAATTGGAAGATTTCACAACTTTTGTCTTGGGCAATACTCCTAAAGAATGGACAAGTTATATTTATTCTTGGGCACTTGCCATTGGCCTAGCCATCTGTTGTGCCACTTGGAAGACTATGTATTGAGAGATTAAAACATCCCTCTTTGGAGCCAAGAACTGCAGGAAAAAATCATGCTGCCTACTGATAGGACAACCTGGATCACTCACATGGATGACCATGGTAAGGGCTGGTACATCTGATCAGACTGACTGGAATTAAGCTGCTGATCAAACTTGTGCCACAGACTGTTGCCATTGCACCAGGCCTGGAAACACATCTACTATCGTGGACTGGGTGCAAAGTAAAGGACTCTATGTTTCTGAAGTTGAAGCCATCACTGCATTGTGGCAGCCAAAAGTTGGCCTGTTAGTCTTCCAGTAAAGGAAGCCAATTGCATGGGGCATCGACTGCTCCAAGGAAAGTGACTACAGTAGGACTTTGTTACCCCTCTGGAGTATCGTTGGTGCCTCATTTCAGATTACGGTGTTGATGATGCTGTTCCAGTACAATCATCTAACTCAAGATACACCAATGTGGACCTTTAAACTAAACCAAGTCATGTTTCCAGCTTTCCAAAGCATCCACAGTCTGACAATGGTGCCTTTTTTTTTTTTTTTTTTGCAATAGCCATCCAATAATGGGCCAATAGTCAAGATATCTGATGACATTCCACACTCCCTAGCATCCACAGGCACCTGATATTGTCAAGGACTGAACAGTCCTCTCAAAAAGATTTCTGACTCTACTCTCTCCTGGTTCACACACCTTAGTAAAACAGCTCTGTCACCTAATGTAGTCAGCACCAGGAACGGTTCGCCTCCTCTTGGCCATCAATTGGGTAATGGCAAGGATAAAAGGGGTAGAGGGTTGCAAACCTATTTTGAAAACTTGAGATTCTTCCCAAACCATTCGTGGGCGTGATTCCCTAACAGCAACCCCAGATCAGCCTGGGGACAGCTATGGGATACAAACTTAATTCTAGCTCAGGCACCGGAAGCTGGAGGGACATGGTCCTAGAGTATAAAGATAATGACCACTTGGTTGAGTGCACTGCTTGTCAAGCCCGCTACAGTGACTCATCTGGTCTCTGCCAATTTTCTAGTAATGGTCTTGGCAAAAAAAGGTCTGGATATTATAAGGGATACCTGGAGAAAAGGTGAAGTTACAGGTACTAAAGTGATACACCCTAATATAATTATATGATGGCAGAGGAAGAAAAGAAACAATTTTGGAAGCTGGGAAGGTAACATCTTAGGCCTCAGGAAACGTAAAGAAAAGGGAAACAATTAATGATCCTTTCTCCTCTAGGTCCAGAACCAATGCCTGGTAAACATCCATATGGTCCATCTAAATCAGGTGGCAGCTGTAGCTGGCAATCTGACTTTCTACTGAGTTTGTCAGTGTGCTATGAAATCAGAAAAACTCATGTAGATGTGGCCTATCTTGAACTATTCTGACGTGCCTGATAGCATCAACTCCCAAACACAGACACCATATGTGTGCAAACACACAAACTGGAACAACCTTCTCTCAATCTAATACAAATTCATATGCTCCTCCTGACACTCTAGGGGCCCTAGGTTATGCCTTGTATAGCAACTGAGGCTGCAACAACTCAGTGACACTCACTGCCCATGTGGCTTAACCAAACTACTGTAATGCAATCTCAATCAAATTTCATGATAATCCAAATAAAATTTACAAAAAGTCCTGAACTGGAGTGGTCTGTACCCCTTCAGGTAATATATTAGGAAGAGTGGGCCACAGAATGTCTTCCCATTGGGCATGAAAGTTGCTTTCTTTTTTTAATGGAGACCCACTGTAATTATTGACAATGACACCAACGATTAGAAGTCAGTCTAAATACCTGTGCAGAGATCATAATGGATAACATACTGGTCTCAGACTTTTTAAAATATATATGTGTTTTTATTGATTTTTAGAGAGGAAGGAGAGGGATAGATAGAAACACCAATAAGAGAAGCATCATCGATCAGATGCCTCCTGAATGCCCCCACTGGGGACAAAGCCCACAACCCACACATGTGCCCTGACCGGGAATTGAACTGTGACCTCTTGGTTCCTAGGTCGACACTCAACCACTGAACCATTAGACTATATCCCAGCTATCTAAAATAAGACCTACTGGTCCTTTCCTCACCCCCTGATCTGTACACTTAATTATTCACAGGTGGTTGGATCTAGTACCCTGGGGAACATGGTTGAGATTAGCACAAGTTGGCCTCATCCTGCTGCTTAGAAATGAAAGCAGCCTTCATTAAATGAACAAATTGAACAGATTTGGTTCCTGCCTCGGTCAGCCAAGTTAATCAGAGTAGCCAATGGAGTTGCATATTCATGTGAGAATTTGCTAGAAACCAAGACAGTGTAGGATGGAGGGGTGAGACTATTGGGAGATACAATCCTCCATGAGTCTCTTGTACTTCCACACGTCTTGCTGGGTATGCCAAGAATGCAAGGCCCTGACTGCGCTTTACCTGGGCCATTTCTCAGAGCTGTGTTTACACCAAGCAACCTTGACTAAAGAGGTAATGTCACTCACCAGGACAAAAAGTAAGCTTGCTTACTGCTTGCTATAAAATAGTACATTCCCCAAGCTGTTGTTCCTCAAAGCTGCAAAGAAAACCACTTGTGTGCAATCATCCATCTGGGCCCAGAGCATGACCCAGTGGGACTTGCGGGGACAAGGGAAACGGACTCCATCATGCCACTATTCATCCTGCTTCCTGTGTGGTGGTAAAATGTCCTTTGTCTCTGACCCAGGAGTCTCATATCTTCTGCCAAGACTCATGAAACAACAAGCTAATTTATTAACTTACAAGCTAGCAGTTTGTTAGTGTACTTGCTTTTTTAGGAGTTCCATTTCTAACACTCCAACAGTAACTTTCTCCTCGGTGATAATGAGAAAATATGGTATCATTTGTTGGTCAAACAAGTGAACCATCTTCAGATTGTATAAAACTTTTCCTCCTCCCAGCTGGCGACTTCTTAAGCTCATCTAATAAAATCTGACCATACCTCAGTCCTGCAACTGACTCTACAAACTAAAATCTTTCAGAAAATAACTATCTCCTCACCGCATGGCCCCAAACCTGCTTCCTAGAACCTCTGTCACCATCCCGGGACACCCAAGTTGTCCCTGCTCCCAAGGATCAAGGTACCCCAGTTAAGAATTCCCCCCTCCACTGACGCTTGGAAATTCTGCAGATCAGGAACTCAGACCTTAGAAAATTCAGTACTAAGGATTTCCGGTTCTCCTTGGAAAGTTCAAAGCACCTTTAAGAGCCACAATTTGAGAGCCAGATGAGACCCTGCAGCATACCCTGGAAGGCATCCAGGCTGCTTCCTCAGATTCCAAGAATCCCACTGCCACCCACCAGAGCAAAGGTTCAGACTTGCTATTAGCCAGGGGCAAACACCGGAAACCTCAGTTTCCCTTCCAGCGCGACCCCGCCCCTCTCCCTGTGGATCCCGCCCCCTCCGTGCCCCACGACCAATCAGAGGACGCGTCCCTCCTTCCAGGTTACCATGGTGCCCGCCGAGTCCCGCCCGTCACTCACCAGACATGAGGTGGCTGGTCCAGACGATAGAAGCGGGTGGCGAAGGCCAGCAGCGTTACCAGGGCCAGCAGGACCCACCGGCAGGCCGCCTCGGAGGGCCGTGAGCCCGGAGCAGGCCGTTTGGGGCTCTGCGCTGCAGCCTCAGCGGCCTCCTCCGGGACCGCGGCCCTAGCCGCCTGGGGCCCACAGCGGCCCCTCCGAGGACGTAGCTCGGACCCTGCCAGGCCTTCGCATACCGCCGACGGCATTCTTCCCCTCCTCAGGATCGCCCTCCGGCCCGTGGGCACGCTGGCCGTCCTGCCTAGAAGCCACAAAGGGGCAGCTCGGGGTGCCCTGGGAAATGTAGTTCCCTGCGCCGGCAGCGGGGCGCGGACCTCGGCCTCTGGGCTGGGCGGGGAGCGCGGTGGACTCGGCCGCTAGGAGGCGGCCAGTGGCGCAGAGCATGACGGACCAGAGGGCCATGCGGGCCGGGCCAGGAGAAAACGGGCTCCAGGAACTGCAATTCCCAGCAGCGCCGGGCCTGGGGCGTGGCGAGCTAGGAGGGACCATGAAGATAATTCTAGTCCAACCCCGCGCTTTCCCCAGACGGAAGCCTGGGTTCCGAGGTGTCGGTGTCCCACGGGCCTCAGGCGTCGACGAGTCGGGGAGTCCCAGGCGCGATTTCTGAACGAGGGGTCGCCGGAAGTGCGAGATGCAAGTGGGGAAGGTCTGTGCCTCGCATCCGGGGAGAGGGGCGCTACTCCAACGCTGAGAACCTGGGGGCGGGGTCAAGGGAAGTCGGCCCCGCCCACAGTTCCAGCCACGACTCCCAGCTTGCAGTGCGCTGCGCTGGTCCCGCTTCGCGCCTGCGCACTGCCTGATGGGGGGGGGCTGTGGCCCGCGGCGGCGCACCCTCGTGGGGCCCTTCCGTGGGGTCGGACAGCCGGTCCCACGCACTTCGCCTGATTCCTCACCCCTCTTCCTGGGCTCCCAAACATCGTTCCTCGCCAGCTGGGTCGGCACAGCCCTGCGTGTCGGCCCGAGAGAACAGTTAACATATGGCTTCCAGGGTTGCTTGCATTTTGAGAGCACATCAGGGGCGAGGGGCGGCGGTGGCGCTTCCCAGTCCCCTGAGGAGCTGCCTGTGTCAATCTCTGGAGGAATGGGCCCGGGAATCTGCAGGTTTTTAAACGCGCCCCCGTAGAAATGCTGTCATAGCTCGAAGGAGGGTGGCAGGCACATCGGGTGGGATATCGCTTCCATACTGTAGAGCTCGCCCAGTCCCAGATGGGATTTTAGGGGTCTTTCTCTGAAGTCATGATGGTTTAAAAAATCGATGAAAACCATATCCTCGGGTGAGGATTTAAAAAATAAAGTCTGCTAGAGTGGTTGGAATCTATACTAAAATTGGAAACAGAATTCCTCCCAGAGTGGTGGTGGGAGGGATACTTGGGCTTAAAATTCAGCTCTGCAAGTGTGAAAAGAACACGGGATGGTTTATGTAATTGTTGGTAAAAGAAAGAGTGAAGTTTACAGTGACTCTGGTCGCCCTTAGTACAGGTCAAAGGTGTAGCATTTAGGAGTCAGGAGGGCATTGCTTAAAGGGTTCTTGAGCTGACGCCTGCCACTCTCTAGGGGTCCGTCCCTCGCCAGCAGTCCCTATCCTGGCCCCAGGGGCCTCTAGTCTGGCTCAGTAAGGAAAATGATGCACCCAGCTGTAGCCACCCAACTCTTGTCCTTCTGAGGACACCCGCTGCCCATCACCTGCCCTCTGTGCCAAGACAAAAGGTGCCTTCAGTACAGGCTGGAGCTTCCCGGCTCAGGAACCAACGTGGGCGGGCCTGGGTTATGACAGGTGCCCTTGCCCACCTAGAGGACAGAACTGGTAGTTCAGGGATGATGCCAGCGGGTTCAGATCGAAGCTTGGTGTGCTGAGGGACGCAAAAGGGAGAGGGAACTTGGTGAAGTGTCGGTAGTCAGAGGAATAGTAGAAAAATTCTATTTTCTCCCTCATCCATGTGGATACATGTGTCTGCCGGGACATTCGTGAGTGCTAATTACTGTCCTGGGTCCTGCTTTGAAATGCAGGTTACCCAAGAAGCACCAGAGGGATTATCTTTGAGTCTCTTAAACTTTAGAGGAGAGGTCACATACTCAGCTGCAGAGGCCTGAGGGCAACAAGAAAGAAGTGGGGCCATGGCAGACGGGAGAAGGCATGCCCTGACTTAAGGGGGCCATTAACTAGCTCCAATAAATTGCTGCTCAGGAAGCCAAGTCCACTGCCTCCAGATTTTATAACGAAAAAACAGACAACAGGATTTGTATATGAAACATCCTGATTTTTTAATGTTGGCAACTACAATCATCCCTCGATATCCACAGGGCATTGGTTCCAGAAGTCCTGTCCCCCAAAGATACCAAAATCTGAGGATGCCCAAGTCCCTTATATAAAATAGCATGGTATATTTTAAATCACTTCTAGATTATGTATAATCCCTAACATAGCGTAACTGCTATGTGAGTACTTGCCCTACTGTATTGTTTAGGGAATAATGACAAGAGAAAAGGTCTGTGCCTATTCAGTACAGACCCAACCAAGGCAACCATCATAGGCTTGACTACATAGTACACGTCAATAACAATGTAATGTTTTCTTCTGAATATTTTCCAGCTGTACTTGGTTGAATCCACACCTTCAGATAAGGGGAGAGATAAGTGTAATCGAAACATTTTTAAAAATTGTGTAGACCAAACAGAACCTTGGGCTGCCAGTTTGCGACCTCAGCTTTGGGGTGAATGGGCATAGACCCCAGCTATTTTTATGAGACCGGCTGATAGCCTGGAGGGCTGGTGGGTCGGGGGTTTGGAAGCAATGGACACAAAAGTATCAAGAATTAGAATTCCTAGGGAGCAAAAGGGGGGGGGGGGGAATGGGAGACATCTGTAATACTGTCAGCAATAAAAGATAAAAAATAGTTAGAATTCCTGGTCTTTCTGCTACTGCTGGAAGGAATCTAAGCCATCATTTTAGGGCAGCTCTTAATTTTACAGAATAGAGAAGGCAGGGGTTTACTATTTTTTGTCCAGGGTCATACAGAGCTGGTTCCTGCATGGGGATCAGACCCCCATATGCCAGCTCCCAGCCTACAGCACCTCCTGAACTACTTACCTCAAAACTACCCTGTCTGCCCAGGACACCAAGCCTAGCTCCACCAGGAGCGTAAGACACCTCCCAAAGTTTGGGAAAAGGTGCCCCTTCAGACCTGAGTCAAAGTCCCCCTGCCACCTGCTGAGCGCAGCTTCCCCATTGGCTCATGGGATCTGCCCCTTCCGGATCCCTCCCCCTGCCCTGCTGCTCTGTGACGGGACATTCCTCAGGAGGCCAAGGGTCACCACAGCACCATGACTGAGTCTGGCAAGGTAAGGAGAGCCCGTGCAAGCTGGCTGTCCTTTTGGGGGTTCTTGTCAGACCTCAGGAATGCATGACAGCACAGTTTGGAGCCGAGGGACTACACAGGACTCCTGAGGCCTCTGACCCAGATGCTCTGCCTCTGGCCTGAGGAAGGAGGCCTGGCGGGATGGGGAGGCACAGTGCTGGCGTGGACCCCTGGCCGGGGCTGGGGCCTCGTCTCCAGTGGGCTCCTGGGCTGGGACCCACCACATGGGTTAATGTACCCCTTGTCCTCTCGTCCCTCAGCCCATCCTCTATTCCTACTTCCGAAGCTCATGCTCCTGGAGAGTTCGAATCGGTAAGAGCTGCGCCTCCACCGCAAGCCTCGTTGGGGCGGGATGGGGTGGAGGAAGCCCCAGGTGAAGATGATGACCTGGGCCCTCGCCGGTTTGGCTCAGTGGATACAGCATCAGCTCATGGACTGAAGGGTCCTGGGTTCGATTCCAGTCAAGGGCACATTGGTTGAAGGTTCCCAGGCCCTGGTTGGGATGCATGCAGGAGGCAACCAATGGATGTGTCTCTCTCATATCTATTTTTCTCTGTCTCTCCCTCTCCCTTCCACTCTCTCTAAAAATCAGTGGAAATATATCCTTGGGTGAGAATTAACAGACAAAACAACAACAAAAAAGGCCTGGGACAGAGGGGTACTCTACCGGACAGGTCTTCTCCTCCCCTCCAGCAACCAGCATCCCAGTCCTAGAGCCCTCAGCACTGAATGGCACCTCCACCTAGGAAGTCCAACCAGAGGAGGGGGGGGGGGGGGCGGGGTACAAGGCCTGGAGGGTTTTTTTCTCTTGGGCCGTGCCTCTCCCACCCTGCCCTCCAGAGCTCCTTAGCAACCATGCTTAAAGCAGGCTCACACATCTAGAGGACCTTGGTAACTGGCAGGAAACAGCTGGCCTTCCTCAGGTCTTATCTTATTTGATCTGGCCAATTAAACAGAACTGGCCATTGTCCACCCCAGCTTAATCCTTCCCTCCCGCAGTTTAACACAGCCCTTGGCAAAGGTCAGAGTCCTAGCAGCTCCTGCTGAGGGAGAATGCGCTGAGTGCTTTTGTGTGCATAATTCCATTTAAACCTGACAACCCTAGGAGGGAGGTACTATTATTGTCCCCATGGTGCAGAGGAGGAAACTGAGGCTCGGGAAGTTACTTGCCCAGAGCTTCACAAGCTAGCAAATGAATGTGATGAAATCTGAAGCTGGCCCTGACTGGGAAGCCACCCTCCATGACCCCGCCCCCATCCCACAGGCATTTGGTATTTGCTGGAGTCAGTAGGCAAGGGCACTGGAGGGCCTGAGGGCACATTTCTCCAAGAAGATGCCTTCCCTGGGCCCAGAGCTTCTGCCCTGGCTGAAGGGCCTGCAGACATGGTCTCTCCCATTCGGTCTCAACCACGTTCACTCTCCAGAATGGAGCTGACCAGTGCTGAGGAGGAGCCCCTTGTCTCCCAGGCTCCTAGCTCCTCTGCCCTTGCCTGAGACCGGCCATCACCATATTTAATGCACAAGTGAGCATGGACACACCTCCACACTAGCACTGACAGGGTTCCTACCCTGGCCTCGCCAGGGGGAATCATCAGAGGGGATGGAGAGGAAACCTGGTCACTGGGGTCACAGCAGATGCTCTGCTTGCAATCCGCAGTAAACAGAGCAGAGAAAATGGATTGCAAAATGCTTCTTCTCTAAACAGTGTCCTCTGCCTGTGTGTGTGCTCTATGGTCACGTGAGCCCCTTCCCTTGGCCCTGAGAGGCCTTCATGAGGGAATAACTGCGTGTCTCCAACACAAAGCCCTACTCGCGCTGTCAAAGGCCCTGGAGGGGGAAGAGGCGAGGAGGACACTTCCCTGCTGTCCTCCAGCGCCCACTGTGCCAGGCAAGAGAGGCAGAGTGTCATGGACCTGGGTTGGGGCAGTGGGTGGCGCTCAATGAAGCCGGACTGCCTAGCAATATGGAGAAAGGAGCCTCCCCCTGCAGCCTCCTGTCGCCCTGGGAGCCAGAGGCTGTCCCCTGACTCTACTGTTGCTGTCTCTCCTAGCTCTGGCCTTGAAGAGCATCGACTATGAAACCGTGCCCGTCAACCTCATAAAGGATGGGGGCCAGCAGGTGAGGAGGCTGCCCCTGGCCACAATGTGGGAGTTGGAGGCCCTGGAGAACCCAGCAGGGGGTGCAGAGGCCCCCTGGCAGAGGAGGCTGCTGGCTCTCCCTCATGGGAATGGCTGGCAAGCTGTGCAACAAGAGGAGCCATGGGAAGGGCCCAGGCTTCAGGCTCCATACCACAGCCCGGCCTCGCAGTGCCTGACCCCAGGAGGGTGGGTAGCGAGTGTGCCCTGTCCCATGCTGGGCCCTCCGCACGTACCCAGGTGGCCAGTGAGGGGCTCGTGTACAGGCCATTGGGATGAATGAAGCCTGGAGCTCGGCAGCCACTGGAGGCTGGGATACTGCGCAGATCAGCTAGGCATCACCTCCAGCCTTCGAGCCAGGGCCTTCCCCAGGGGAGGGAGGTGCGGGGGTGGGCAGCAGGCCTGGGGCCTTTCTGCTTTAGCCAACTCAGGCCAGGCCACCCAGCCCACCAGGACCCTCTCTCCACAGTTCTCCAAAGAATTCCAGGCACTTAACCCCATGAAGCAGGTGCCAGCTCTGAAGATCGATGGCATCACCATTGGCCAGTCGGTGAGTGCAGAGCTTGGGAGGCCCCTCCAGGGAGTGGTACCCCGAAAGAGAGGGCCTCACAGCTCATCCTTGCCTGTGTGTGGCCACAGCACCCAGCTCTTAGTAGGAACGCCACAGCCATAAATCTTTGTTAAAGGGAGGAAGGTTGGCTGGTTGCTTTGGGACGAGAAGGGAGACTCAAGCAGAGGGAGAACAATTCTGCAGGATGAGGGTCCAAAAAGAGCTCATCCCCCACAGGGAGCCTCTGGGCTTTACAGGCTTCAAGCTGAGTAGGGCGAGGAGGAGGGAGAGGGGAGAGGGGGAGGAAGGGGGGAGGGGAGAGGAGGATGAGGGAGAGGGGGAAGAGGAGGGGGGAGGGGAGAGGGGGAGGAGGGAGAGGGGGAGGAGGAAGAGGGGAGAGGGGGAGGAGGGAGAGGAGGAGGGAGAGGGGGATGGGGGGAGGGGGGAGGAGGAGGGAGAGGGGAGAGGGGGAGGAGGGAGAGGGGAGGAGGGGGAAGAGGAGGGAGAGGAGGAGGAGGGAGAGGGGGATGAGGAGGGAGAGGGGAGAGGGGGAGGAGGGAGAGGGGGGAGGAGAGGGGAGGAGGGGGAAGAGGAGGGAGAGGAGGAGGGAAAAGAGAGGAGAGGGAAGGGAGGGAGAAGGGAGGAGGAGGAGGAGGAGGAGGAGAGGAGTAGAGGGAGAAGGAGGGGGAGGGGAGAGGAAGAGGGAGAGGAGGAGAAGGAGGAGGGGGGAGGGGAGAGGAGGAGGGAAAGGGGAGAGGGGGAGGAGAGGGAAGGGAGGGGGAAGGGAGGAGGAGGAGGAGGAGGAGGAGGGGAAGGGGAGAGGAGGAGGGGGAGAAGGAGGGGGAGGGGAGAGGAGGAGGGGGAGGAGTTTGCAGGCCCTGCCCCTCTGGTCCAGTAGCCCTGGGCCCTCTCCTGCTCCCCTCACTGCTCCCTCTGGACAGCTTGCCATCATCGAGTACCTGGAGGAAACTCGGCCCACTCCACGGCTCCTGCCTCAGGACCCAAAGAAGAGGGTCCTTGTGCGCATGATTTCCGACCTCATCGCTGGCGGCATCCAGCCCCTGCAGGTGCAGCACTGGTGTCTCCGCACTCCCTCGCTGACTGGCCAGCCCACTAGGGGCCCAGCTTGGGTGTGAGGTGGCCGGACAGGGAGGGATTCTCGAGAACTTATACTAGATCACACGGTGGGGCAGGGGAATGGGAGGGATCCCAGAAACCCCCCACTCTGCTGGGTCCCCACCCGCACTGTAAGAAGCCCTGGGCATCCAGAGGTGCGGAAGGGGAGGGGCCGTTGAGGGGGGGAGGGGCCGTTGAGGGGGGAGAGGGGAAGAGAGTCTGAGCAGCAGAGCCCAGGCCGCCTGCCTTTAACCAGAGCAGCCTCCCTTTCATCTGTTTGGTAAAATAGATCGGGATTCCCATAAGATTTTTATTTTGTGAAGTCATCACTGATTTTTTAAAAAGGTAATACAACAATTCATCTGTGCTAACCCCTGACTTTGCAAATAGGCAATAGCCCCAGAAAGGCGGAGTGACTTTGCAGTCAGTTAAGTGTGACAGAGCAAGGACTGGAGCCCAGGACCATGGCTGTGCACCTGTGCCCCCACCCCCATGTCCCTTTGTTTTTTGTAACAAAGGAGGTTGTAGCAGACAGTCATCCTCATTTTATAGATGAGGAAACTGAAGCCCAGAAGTGAAATGGCTCCAGGGGTGTGAGGATGGAACCAGAGTCCAAATCTCCTGACAGCCAGTCCTATGTGCCTTCCCCATCCTACCTCCATATCTTACTTCCACTCCTCACAAGGGACCATGTATGGGAGAAGGGATGCAAGGGAGATATGCTGGGGTTATAGCCACACCCATCACAGCCATGGCTGTGTCCTAGGTCCCCACCCTTGCACATCTCTGCCAGAATCACAGGCTTCCAGACCACAGGGACCACTGGGGCAGCCTGAGAAGGTGGTTACTGAGATCACTGCCCCCACCCCAACCCCTTTAACCTTGGGGCCCTGATAGCAGAAAAGGGCTCAGAGAGTCTTGGGGCAGAGAAGAACAGGTACAGCCAGGGACACTTGGGAACTAAGCTTTCCTGGAGGGCTTGGCTGAGCAGGCCAGCCTGGCTCCCAAAACCAATCACAGACTTTCCTTGGGCTGCACAGAACCTGTCTATCCTGAAGCAAGTAGGACAGGAGAACCAGCTGGCCTGGGCCCAGAAGGCCATCAGTTCTGGCTTTAACGGTGAGTCCTTACTCCTCTCACAGAAACGGCCCTCATGCCCAGGGTCCTGAGCATCTGAAACAGCTTTCCAGGCTCCTTGGTCTTGACAATGGCATAGATGAGGATGGGGGGCAGGGCTGAGGAGGCAGTGGGCTGGGCGGCATCCAAACCTGGCCTCCACCTCTGGGAAGCTCAGAACTTGAGGCCCTTTGGAGCTGGATGGCCCAACCTCTGCTTCAGGAAACCAAGGCCAGCAGAGTGCCAGCCCATGAGTGTAAGAGCTTCTGCCTGGGCCAGTGGCAGGCCTTTCACCTCGGGGAACAGTAGCTGGGAAACATCTCATCCCCATGTCCCTACCAACTCACTCTAGACATGGCTGCCAAATTCCCTCCAGCACATGTGCCCCAGCCAGTCACTCAGATCCCACCCATTTCAGAACTATGGAGGCCAAGGCCCAGAAAGGCCAGTCTCCCCTTTCTGTGCCAGAGTAAGCTTATTCGTGCCCCCCCCCCCCCAGCCTTGGAGCAGATCCTGCAGAGCACAGCGGGGAAATACTGCGTGGGAGACGAGGTGAGCACCCCCAGGCCTGCCCACAGCGGCCTCCTGCCTCATGTCGACCCTCTCCCACTTAGACTAAGCCAGGGCAGGCTCAGCAAGGGGTGGGGGGTGATGGAGAGGAGTAGAGGGCGAGGTGGTCCTCCCTGTGCCAAGCAGAAGGGAGCTCTGCTCATTCCTAGCCAGCTGCCTCAGCAGGAAGGGAGTCTCATTCCTGCAGGTATTCATGCTGAAGATCTCATGTCTGAGATAAGGAGGTGGCCTAGGCAGCAAATGAGGGATTAAACTACTAGTAGATGATGTCTTCCTTCCCTCCCAATCCTGAGACTCTAGGGCTCAGTGCCATTGACTCCTACTGCTAAGGCCCTGGCCTGTGATAATTCTCGTTCTAGCCCCTCTTCCCCCCAAGGCATCGCCTCCATTCTGGGAGCCCTCACTAAGGGCCAACGATGGCCCTTAACAAGCACAGCACATCCACTAAGGCAATCAGAACTTCTCTGGCCACCCACAGAATTGGTTGTCAGGGCAACTGGAGCAAGGCCCTCAGCTCTGGAGACAGACCACAAACAGGCCCAGGGAAGACAAGGAGGGGGAGGGGGCAGTGGGGATGGATGGAAGAGCCAGAAGCAAATGGGAACCTCAGGGCTGACACCCCAGTACTGTCACCAATAGACACACCCTCCCAGCCTGTGAGTCTGGAGTGCACACCCTGATGCAGACCCACCCAACTCTCTTTCAGGTGTCCATGGCTGACCTCTGCTTAGTGCCTCAGGTGGCAAATGCTGAAAGGTAGGCGAGGACTCTGCCACCCTCCCTCTTCCTCCTGGCTCTTCCCCTCCAAGTGCCCAGCCTCCTCCCATAGTCAGCCCCTCCACCCCCACTTCAGCTACTGAGGTATCATCTCACGCAGAGACCCTCCTGGCTGGCCCCTTACCAGGCCACACGAGCCACTGTGGCCTGGGAGAGACAGGCAGAGGTCTTCAGTGGAGCATCCTCTCTCAGGCCCAGCTGCAGTCCAGGTGATCCTGCATACCCAGCCCCTCCTTCTAAGAGGCGGCGGCTCACCTGGTGGACACCCCTAGAGGAAACCCCCAGAGCCTGCTATCCCAGACATGCTGTGTCTGTGTGAGCTCCACCTCTGTTTCCTGCATCAACCCTCAGGAAAGCATGAATGGGAATCTCTTTGTGGAAGGCACTGCGTTAGGGACCCTTAGGGATTCGGAAATGTATGATCCATTCCCTACCCCCTGGAAGCTTATGACTCAGGTGGAGAGACAGTGTCTCCATTTATAAATGCCTAGCACTGTGTCTTACACATAGTAGGTTCTCAATAAATAGCCATTGGTTGGAATAGGAACGGTAGGCAACAGAGACATCAGACAATACTGCATAAGAGCTAGCCCTCCCCAGAGAGCTGTCTGTGAATAAGCCTTCCACCTGCAGGGTCACCTTCCCAGCCCTTCCCTGGCCAGCCCCGGGGGCCTCCTCCAGCCCTGCCTCTGTGCTGCCCTCATCACCCACAGGGCAGTCTCCCCTACCCCTGCTGACCTTGCCTGAGGTGGGTGTTTCTCTGCCACAGGTACAAGGTGGATCTCACTCCCTACCCTACCATCAGCCGTATCAACAAGGCACTGCTGGCCCTGGAGGCCTTCCAAGTGTCTCACCCCTGCCGGCAGCCAGACACGCCCCCGGAGCTGAGGGCCTAGCTCTCAAACCATGCCCACTGGTGCAGGAGCAGAAGCTGGGTGGGCTGAACAGGCCTGAAAATGAGCAAGCCCTAACTGGAGAAGCAGAAGACTTGCACTCCTAGCCCTTGAAATTAAACTGTAGCTGTGGATCTGCCTTAACACTACACCTCATTCTGCCTTCATCCCCTCATCTGTCAAATGCAGTCAGGATAGGGTGGGAGGACTCGGGAGGGAGGGAGGGAGGGAGGAACATTACCTGCTCCCTAAGTCAGGGTGCAGTCATTAAGGTGAAGTGAGAATGCAGACTGAACTGCCTGGCAAGTTTACCCAAGAGCCATAGGAAGTCTGTGTGCCACCTCCCAAACCCTCTACTGTACCTGACTCCAAAGAATGCCCACCCTGCAATTTGATCATTAAACTGAAGCCCAGGGCTCCTGGTTGTTCATTAAGACTGAGATGTTCAGGTTTTGGTTAAGGCAGTTCCCGAAGATGAACATTCTTTCTAAATGGAATTGCCGTGCCTGGACCAGGAGAGGAAGTCAGCAGCCCCTTGCCCACCCTGTGGCCCCTGGGACCTAAGCCCAAAAGATTGCCTGAGAGAGTCAGACAAGATCCCGAGGAGAAGAGAGATAATAAGCAGGAAAGCCCGGCCAGTATGGCTCAGTGGTTGATTGTCGACCTATGAACCAGGAGGCTACGGTTCGGTTCCCGGTCGGGGCACATGCCCAGGTTGCAGGCTTGATCCCTAGTCGGGGGCAGGCAGGAGGCAGCCGATCAATGATTCTCTCTCACCATTGATGTTCCTCTCTTTCCCTCTCCCTTCCTCTCTGAAATCAATAAAAATATATTTTACAAAAAGAAGCAGCAGGAAAGAAGGCACTTGTGACCAGCTGAGTTCCCAGGACTCGGAATGGCACCCTTAAGGGTTCCACTCCAGCACTGACAGGGAAGTGCCCTCCAGCCCAGTCCCTCACCTTTAGAGGGAGCATTCTCTGGACCAATCCCGGATCAGGCACTGAGGGTAAATCCAGTCATGAATGAATGGGCCGAGAACTGGAGGCAGCCTCCTCCATGGGCAGTGTGAACAGTTACCGACCAGACTAGCTCAGGAGACCAGGCAGGTAACAGTGTGCCTTTGGTTCCCATGCCGAGCAATGTTCAACCACAACCAGGATCACCACCTGGCAGAGATGTATGGAAATTGGGGTCCCATACCTGCGACTGCATCTCCCCTGCATGGCTGAGGTTTAAATAGGGAACTAAGATATATGTGTCTGGTTCAAATGGAAGCCACCTTTCTCAGCCATGAGTCCCTTTTCTTCAGCCTTAACCCCAGGGATCTATTCTTCTCTCTCATCCTGGGCTCCCTTGGGGCTCCTCCTTCTCTCTTGGACAACCTGGGTTCCAGACTTTAGAATGACCCAAGTGGGCCACTCTAGTTCCCGAGATGAATTTGTCCTGGTAGGGGCAGCTCTCCCCCAGTTCGTAGCAATACAAGCTGGTCTCAAGGCCAGCACTGGGACCACCCTTGCTGCCTTTTTCACCTAGAACCAAGGAGAGAACCAACCCAGGACCAGCTCAGTTCTCAGGGGCCTGCAACAACTTTTCTGATGTCTCCTGTGGGTTTCAGGGACGAGGGCTGTGAGAAGTGAGGGGATCTGGGGAGATGGAATTGGGAGGGTTGCAAACAGAAGGCAGGCCCAGGGCAGCCACCAGCTCAGGATCAACTAAAGGGTGGAAAAGCAGTGTGTGTTGGGGGAAGAAGGGGACCAATGGGATGAGTCCAGGTTGTGGCCTCACCGAATGACCACAGCTAATGAGAAAGAAGAGCAGTCTGCCTGACTTCCGGGCCTGAAGTTTTGAGGCAGAGTGAGATTATCATGTGTTGCCAGCCCTGGGGCTTCCATGGAGTCCAGGTCATCAGCATGGTTAGCTGCTCGGCTGGAGATCTGAGATTTCGCTGGCTCCAGCCCTCCTCATAGGGAGCCATCCTCAGGAACCTGGGGCTGGCTTCATGGGAGAGAGAAACCTCTCTGCCCCTAGAGAACTTAGCTGTGCTTTAGGGGTACAAGAAAGCATTTCTGCACCATCTCCCCTGCAGGAGGGTGGCGTTCCCCCAAGCTCCTCTAGGGCTGCACTCCTGTCTCCCTTCTGTTACCCAAGTGCCAAGCAAGGTGTAGCTTTGCTCCATAAATGTCTGTTAAAGGAAAGATATCCTTCCTGTGCAACCATGGGAGGCCTCCCTGCAGGTCTCTCTCCTCCTTCGGGCCCTAGAAGGTCATGAAGGAACAAATATTTCCCCAAGTGCATAGACTTTTGTCTAGAGGTCAGACCAAACGGCTCCAAGACTTAGCGATAATTACGCTTCTATAAAGTGTTTTGAAGATTATTACCTCCTCTTTGACTCCTTCCGGTCTGCAGATAAATTCTAATTTTCAGGGGGTGAATGTGTTTCTCGATCCAAAACTATCACCCCTCTAAGGGGCTTCTCTCCAAAGGCCGAGCGAGTGGTCAAAGTCTACATCAGTTGTTAGATCTGTGGAGAGCAATCAGCAGGCACCTGATCCTGGCCTGGGAGGCCACAGGGAGACTGATCTGCAGTCTTCCCACAGTGTGTGTGGCCACGGGACGAACAACAGATGTTGGGGTGGCCTGATACTGGCAATTAGATGGAAGTAGTTAAGTCCTGGCAAATACTTTAGAAGGATGAAAGCAGCGAGGACTTGAGAACAAAGCCAAAAATACAAGATTTTTGTTCCAAAGGAATTTTTACATATCCATTAAGGAAAATAGTACACTGACTGGGCAAACAGGTGGAGACACACATTCATAAGATAAGTATTCATTTTACTGGCTCCTCCTAACTTTAAACACAACTTATTTACCTTTTGATTCCAAGGTCACAGCAGGCATCGTTCCCCTTTGTGAGGATACCTGACTAAGCTGCCGAGTACAGCCAGAACCTCACGGGTTAAAAAACATCAGCTGAAGGTCGAGTTGCAGTCTGTGAGCTTCCTTATATAAGCTTGAACTATGTCAGGGTCAATGATATGACAGAGATGAGTGCCATTAAAAATTAAGAAATAATCTTCAGCCCTGGCCGGTTTGGCTCAGATTAGAGCGTCAGCCCATGGACTAAACGGTCACAGGTTCAATTCCTGGTCAAGGGCATGTATCTTGGTTGCAGGTTCGATCCCTGGCCCTGGTCAGGGCACGTGCAAGGCAACCAATTGATGTATCTCTCTCATGTCAATGTTTTTTTCTCTCTCTCTCTCTTTCCCTCTCTCCCTTCTACTCTCTCTAAAAAAATTTTTAATGGGAAAAATATCCTTGGGTGAGGATTAAAAACAAAAAATCTTCACTCAGTGACATATTCAACATACCCAAACATAACACATTCAAGATCCTTCGTACATACAGTCTGCCTGGGCTTCTTATTATTGGTTGCAGAGTAGTTTGGTGGTGAGATTATATCATTTAACTCACAATTATTTAGGATCTCTGCCTCCTGATACAACAGCCTATAAAATATGTAGCAAAGGAAAGATGGAACAAGCTCATCTTGGAACCACAGATATCACTAAAGGCAATATTTAAACGGCACCCCTCTCTGCTCAGATGTGAGTCCTTCAAATTCTGAAACAGACAGCAAGGATGTGCAGCATTGTAAGAGATGCCAACGACAGCTTATAGTGTCAATTTTGCAAGTGAAAATAGGCTAAATTAATACTGCCCTGGCTGAGTTAATGATTACCCTGGTGTTTGAAGTACTGGTTCCAAATTTGAACAGAGTAAATAAGTAAATTCACTGGAAAATGAACATCACTGGGGACCAAATACTGACAAAACCTGATAATGTTCTATTTAGTAATCATTACTCTAAACCAGTTTTTTTCACTCTTGTGCCAAACCTAGCTCCCAATTCATAATACTCCGCTATAAATTTAAATGCAGATGAAAGATCTATCATTAACCTCATTCTCAATATTTTCTTAATTGTCAATTTTCTTAATTTGTATAGCCTCAATAGATTAAGTTTACAGAATACCTTTCATTTAAGATGCAAAGGAGAGATTAATAAAAAAAATTTAATGTAAATCAGGTTCATTAAGATATAACTCAAATGTTTCAGGTGCATAGTGAAAAAGTTTATTTATGACAGATTTCAAAACTCGGAAGAGAAGACAAAGAATGCACAAAAGCATCACAAAACTGTTACATAATATAAAAACACAGGACTGAGTACTTAGAGAACCGTAGCTCAGGATCATTTGTGTGTCACAGCAACACATTCAGTGGCACAGGGTGGTAAATATGGCATTTTAAAGGAAAAACCACTCAGAGGACATAATTAAATAACAATTTGGTACAGAGCTCTCAACTTAGAAATCATAGGAGGGGGTGACAGCATTTCTCAGGATAGAGAACACGTAAAACCAATTGCAATGAGATACTTTTGTATTTTAAATAAAAGGCTGTTCCCCTTTCAGACCCCTCTTTGTAATGTCAGAATCAGCACATGATATAGAATAAGGAGAGAATACCTTTGTGGTTGCCAATTGCTAAATATTTACCAAGAAAGCGTGATCATCTTTCCATCAACGGACAGAGCTCAGTGTGTGGCACCACAGCAGGCCTTTCAGAAATGAGCAAAATGGCACAATGTGGTTTAGGAAATCTTCAAGCACCTCCCTCAATTCCAATTACCCTCATCCAAAGCCTGGCTTTCTTATAACCCATCACTCTGATTACAAAGCAGCTTTCTCCTGGGAATTTCAAAACACTTCCCATATGAAGGGAGCATGGATGGGTACACCAGTCATGGGTTATAGGCTTGGACTTGCTCTTGAACAAGGCTAAGTGGAAATAATTCAGCTTGATTAAACAAACGAACAAAAATGGGACAATCATCTCAGAAAGGGATGTTAGTAGAGTTTTTAATATGTGATTTCCTAATTAAATGTACTGTTTAAGACATAAGAGAAGGAATTAAGATAATGTATTCCAGATGACGCTTGCCTGAACCTAAAAAGCAACAGTAACAACCAATCACAAGGAACATCACAGGCAAGGCAGGTGAACCCTAAGTGAGGATGAGAGTTCAGGAGAAGAGCTCCTTAAAGCGATGCCAGTGACGAGCTCCTCCGTAACCCTATGTACTGTAATAGTTCAAGCCAAAACTTTAGAATTGTTCCTGACCCTATATCAGAACTTCTAGAAAATATACTTTGTCCCTGAAAAGATTTCACATATAATATTTTACCCCTGGACAAGCCCAAACTACCTGCTTCAAGTGACATGCAACTGGAATTTAATCTAGAAAGTCTGTATCTCTAGATTGCTGGGCACCTTTTCCTCGTCGCTGAGAGTGAAGAGCCATGAAATTCATCCACATGCCTGGGGCCTATGAGAAATCAAAGCACATGGAACAGAAACCAAGCTCAAAGCAGTACCAGGACTCTAATGAAGAGTCTTGCTTTTGGACTTAGTTTTTGAGGGAATGACTATTTGTAAATGAATCCCACACTCAAGGCTTTAGGCAATTAATTGGGGTTCCTTAGCTTGGTGAGGAGAGATTCCAACAGGAGGGGCCTTCCTGGTTCAGGCAGGGACAATGCAGTGCTCCAGAGGGAGCAGCAGTGATTTCTGAAATCTGGCCCCACAGCAAAGTGTTTCTCAGCCTTTGAGTCCCAAATCTTGCCCTAAGCTCATTACGTAAATAACTGGATAGATGTCAGAGAAGTGTCCACAGGGGCTGGACTGGTTAGACAGAGCGAAGGGGCGACACTGACCATAACCAGGCACCAAGAGAGCCAAGGCAGTTCTTACCCAAGGGCCTCCCCTATTCCAAGAAGACGCCAGGAACTAGCTCCCAGGGTTCTCCTTTGCAGAATACCAGAGTTACTGCCCACAGGAGACTTGGCTCCTTCAGTGGGCCCTGAGGCCAGACTCTAAGAACACTCCACTGATATTACACTTAGAGCCAGAAAGAGAATAGTTCCCACAGATGGAGGGCTCGCTCCACTTATTAGCCAACTCAACTACTTTGTCGTCCTCATCAGTACAGCACTGTCACATCCTCTTCACGCACTTGGTGAGGTTAACAAGAGTTCTGGTTGCACAGTCACCCAGCTGTCCAAATATGGGACCACGAGTCACAATCCCTCCTTCCAGGGAGGCCTCTGGCTCAAAGCTCTACTTCGAACCCTGACTGATTGCTTTATCTACTCAACTCTATGATCCCTATTATTTAATTCTGGTTAACTGGCTAAACTGAGGCCGTGGCTACCATGCTGGCAGTGCTAAACAATACCAGAAATACCCAGGACATCAGAATGAAACGGAAGGGGCTCGTCCCTTTCTGTCTCTCAGCTGTGTGGAAATGTGGGCCAGGGATAGGATCCCATGTGCGTGAAGACTGGGACTTTGGCCATGTGGACACTCACCACACACTGCACTGACTGCTGGAAAGCGCCGGCTTGTGACTGGATTTAGACACCCATTTCCTACTTCCTCCCCAAAGAATCATGCATCACAGCTCCCTGAGCACAAACACAATGAACAGAATGACTTGCTCTCTAAAGACCATAAATCCCTTAACAAGCTCCCCTCACAACAACAGAAACCACCTTCCTTCAGACTGAAACTCACTTTCCAACTCTTTCCAACCACTGAGATGCCCGGGATGATGCTCTGCCCTTTCCAGCAGCTTCAGGAGTTCTGCACTTGGAGCCAGGTGGGAAGAGACTAGCTACAGGTCCATGTGGATCTTTCAGACGCAGGAGAAAATCTAAAGGGAAGCTCTAGCTGCAGGTTCCGTTGGTCTGTTCCATTTACTACTATGTGTCCTTAGCCCACCCAGGTTAAAGAAGATCTGATTCCTACACCTCACAAGGAGTGTGGCTTGAGACATACTCTTATGGCTTGAGACTCTCCTATGGTGTTGGTCAAAATTAACCTATTTCATCCCTTAGCCAGAATCAAAACTAACTGGGGCCACAGTGGCACAGCTGGAAGTCCGCCTGGCTTCTTTCTAAACCTACCATCTTTTTTCATGGCACTTGACTTGTAAGTCCCAGAGAAGACAGAGATGAACTAAGGCCTCGGGCCAAGAGTACACTAAGCAAAGAAGACCTTCTCAAAAATATGTCTAAAGTCAGTCCTGCTGGAAAAGACAGCAAAGTGGGTTTGGGATTTCTACAACAAGGACAGTGAGAACCAGTGAGGCTTCTGGCTTAAAGAACAGTTCCAACTAATGAACCACAAACTAAGAACTAAACAAAATCAGGCCTTGACTGGTGTGACTCAGTTGGAACATCATGCCATACACCAAAAAGATGGTGGGTTCAACTCCTACTCAGGGCACATAACCCAGGTTGCAGGTTCAATCCCCAGTCAGGGCACGTGCGAGAGGCAACCGATCAAGATTTCTTTCACATCAGTGTTTCTCTCTCTCTCTCTCTCTCTCTCTCTCTCTCTCTCTCTCTCTCAAATCAATAAAACAAAATTTAAAAGAACTAAAAATCAGATATGAGCAAAATTCTAGGATATATATTTGATAGCTTTCTTTGTTCCCCTCATTTTATTGTTTTCATTCCTTACTATCAATTTAAAAAGGCAGTTCTCAAGGTGTACACAACTGTCTCACTCAGGCCACTTTCCCTAAAACAAGTCTTTTAGGGAAATATTAGGGTCACCCAACAATGTATCTTAAACCACATACTTTGGGATTAAAGGTCAAACTTTTGCAGAGAAGTGGTCTTAAATAATAAATATAAAAATACAGACTTTTGGGTTTCACCTAATTCTTTCAAAGGGGGACTGGGAAGGCTCATCAAAAACACATCAATTCAGATATTTCCTATAAATTTTACATTAATATCTAATCCCAATGATTAATATAAGGCAGTGAGCTTTCAGATTTAATTCTTCCACAAATATAATATAGGGGAAGGTATATACATTTTCAAAGTCTGAGGTTTTATTTCCTAAGTAACAGATAACAATATTTTTAAAGTGCATGAGTCAATTAAGAAAAAAATAACAATGGCCTCATTTCAAGTTGCTACCTACTTCCATTATAAAGCTATAGACTGTCTGAGGATTGAGGTTTAATGTCAGAGTCCTGAGGATGTCTCATAGAGCAAGAGAGATTACAGTAAAGTCCTTCCACAGCAGCTTCACAACTACCTCACTCCAATGCTGGCACACTGGAGAAGAAAACATTAGAAATGACCGAGGGAGAGGGGCAATACAGTGTGAGTCTGAAAGGGGGAGACCAGGGAACACTTTTATGAAGACTGCCTCCTGGGTAACTCATGTTGCATGAAACAAGTCTGCAAAGATCCAGGAACTCCCTGGCATAGGAGAGTTGGTGTCTGTGCAGGGAACACAGGCTAACTGGACACTTGTCAAAAGGAACAGAATGGTAAAATCATCTTTGCCTAAAGATTAGCAGGTTATAATTTTTAAATCCATGTGGTGGGGTATACATAAGGATGTTTACTATATCTTTCTTTTTAAATTTTTGCTGAAAATTTTTCATTGTAAAATGTTGGGGGAAATTAACCCTTTAAACATGTCTTCCTATCTAGAAGCCCCATCTCTCAACAAAGTAGCAAAACCAAACAAAATGAAGAAATTTAAGGACTCGGCCACTCTGTGTAGAGAATTCTAGGCTCTCTCCTATGATGAAGTACTTTCTTTCGATTGTTTGTTAATATTTATCTGTGCTCTGGAGGACAGGGTGAGGGTGAAAACAAAGGATTTTCTTTTCATTGTTTGGTTCTGTAAACTTGGACAGGGTGAGACTAAGGAAATAACTACCTCTTAGGATTTGCTGGGCTATGAAATTCTCAGTAATTACCTTTGCTTCAGTACATAATATTTTGTTCCCACAGTACAATAATTTCAGAAATTTAATATGAGAATAGTGAATGAATTTAAAAAATACCTTCTCTCAGCTATATGTGCAAATGGAACAAAGAAGCCCTGACTGTCAGGGAAACACCAGTGTAGAGTGAAATATAACAATATCCAGGACTTCAAAAGTGACCAGACAGTAAGAGGCACACAGAGGCTATGGGAACAAGTCCCTCAGGCTTCCCTGAAGCAACAGAACTAAGATCCCAAAGAAAATAAGTACAGAGACTCTCACAGCAAAAATACACAGTAAGTTTATCCAGGGAGCTTGCTACGGCCTGGCAGCTCCATTTTAAGAGACAGTCAGAAGTTAATAATAAGCAAGAAAAATAAGCAAGGCTTTGGCTGACTGGAGAACAGCTCAGTAGAAAATTATTTTGTAAAGATTATGTTAGCAAAGGCATGATTCAGCTTTAGTGATGAAAGAGTGGTCACTCAGCTATCTGATGGGATAATGCACAGCAAGTTGGCTTTTCGCTGCCCAAATAGACAGTCACTAAAATAATTTCTAATTTCTTACAAGGTATATCAATTTTGGCCAGTGTAATCCTCTACAAAATGCACTCATATATAAAATAATGGCGGCATGATGCTGCTCAGAGGACGGGGATGCTATGGCAGTCCACTAATCCCACCCTACTTTGGGCTTTGCTCCCAGGGGAACAGAGGGTGCAGGCTGTACCGCTCCTTGTCCATGTAGTAGCTGATGCTACTACACACCTATTGTGAGGAGCCCTGGTCTTCCATTTCCTGCTCCAACAGGGAGGGGAGGCCTGGTGCAAAGCACCCACACAAGGAAGGAATGAGCCAGAGAAATCATCTTGAAGGTGACTCCTCATTGCAGAAAAAGACTTTGATATTTGGGAATCACAGGACAACTCTGACTGGCTAGTCAGGTCCTCTGTACTCAACCCGGGGCAAATGGGCAGATTTCCTCACAACCTAGACTTCCTCAGAGGGGATGCTGGGGTAGGTCATCCAGCTCAGAAGGGGGAAGATTCCTCCCAAAGCATCACAGGACTGGAGTGCAGGAATGGGCACTCATCACTTTCCAGCTTCTCCTAAAATCATCATCAACTCCATAGAGGAGGCGGCCGCAATGGCTCAGAGCAGATGTAAGTCTTCTAAGAAACAGATGGAAACTGCTTCAAAGACAAAATGAAATGTGCTAAAAAAAATAAATAAAGTAATAAATAAATCTAATTTTTCTTCAAAAGTCTAAGGCAGTAACAGACGTGACACAGGAATACGAACAAGGAGGTACTGACAACCACAGTGGTCCCTTCTCTGCCAGAGGCCCTGCCACCCTCCCGCTGTGGTGACCGCTAGCTGCAGCAGCCTGCGGCACTCCTGGGCCTCAGGGTCAGAGTGGGAGAGGCCGCCACCAGGGAAACGCAAGGTCTGGCCTGGTGAAGAACACATCCGATCAGCAGCAACAGTGAAGCTCATTACCACCCTTCCTAAGAGACTCTGAACATCAAAAGCTTTAAGCCCTCGATGCAAGACACCTAAACACAGAAACTTTGGAAGTCTGATTGGTTTCTAAATAACATTCTTACTCCAAAGAAAGGAAAAAGTGGTGAGAATCTAGATGGTGGTTTTTTTTTTTTTAATGTTCTTTCTAATACCCCGTCTTTGATTATACAAAAAACAAACAAACATTAGTAACACTTGCCTTTCAAAGATGTGGGCTCTGGCATCAATCCAGTACCTAATTGGCACCCTTTGCCCTTCAACCACGGGTGCCCTTGGTATGGGTCACTGCCTCCTGAAACAGGAAGTAATGGGGGCAGCTTTTCTTCCCAGAAAAGTTACAGTGACCATCCCTTTGGATTGCACAGAAGTCCTTGCTGTGATGGTGAACACACAGGCATAGGAAAGGAAAAAGAGGAGGCAAAGAGGCAGAGGCGAGCCCTCAGGACTAATAACGCCCCTCATAGGCCGTGAGGGCTCCCAGCCTGTGCTAGCGACCATGAAGAACTGGCAGGCAGGAATATGGCAGTGGTGAGCGGCTGGACAGAGCCTTCTCCAGCCAGGGAACTGGGCTCCTTCATGGACAGTGTGCTTTCCCTCTCTCAGCACTTGCAAAAAGCGAGTGGGTACCACCAAACACATCTGCAATAAAGGCTCTGGGAGAGGAGAAAGCAGCAATCCTGTACCAAATACCTATTTTTAGAAGGCAACACCCAACTTGCTTTTAGGCTTTTGCCTGATGGGCGCCTTCATAGAGGGATTCTGCTGGAGTCTGAAGCAAGAAGAGTGTGAGTCATGGACCACAGAACAGGGGCACTACACCACCACCTGCAGAAGCTGAGGAGTGGGCAAAGCTACGTGGGGTCAACGGTCAGGCATGCCAGGCGGGGCATGAGGGTCAGAAGCCTCATGCTCCACTTCGAGCTCTTGCCTGTCGGAAAGAAGAGGCACCAGCTGGCAGCCTGCTCAGCCAGCAAACACCGCCTGCCCGGTCCCCCGGGCCTTCAGCTAGTGTAGTAGACGTGGAAGTAGAGAGTCTTGTTGCGAAGCAGGGAGTAGGAGTTGTCAAACTTGAGCAGGTAGATGCCCTCCCCGGGGTAGTCGTGGCTGCCAGCCTGCACGTCTTGGTGGCTGTCCCGCCGGTACACAGGCATGACTTCCCCGTAGCGACCCCGCAGGGAGCTTCTGGAGCCTCTCTCCACATCTCCGGCTGGGACAGGGTCTGCATGAGCAAAACGGCAGAGTGTCTGGACATGAGTTCAGAGAACACAGGTAAGTTCTACATGAAGGTAAGAGAATGGACCGGGTGAACTAGTGGCTTTAACCTGGGGGGGATGCTCTTGCCCTCCAATAGGAATGTAGAAATATCTGGGTGATCCAAGGGTCCAGGAGTGCTAAACATGAGGACAGCACCTGCCTCACAAACAAGCATCCCCCCCAAATGCCAATAGCCTCCACTGAGATATGAGGATTTAGCCTTGTGGAACCTACCTAGCTCCCAAAGTGTCCAGACATTAACAAGGGAGAGGAAGATATTTAGAAGGGATGATTCTCACGTCCTTCACTCAACCAGGGAACGAACTAGCTAATGGAGGTAGGAAAAGCAGACAAACACGCTGCACAGAGTGACCTAGACCTTCCAGCTGGCCTCCTAAAGAGCAGCAAATAAGATATGAGGTTCTCCCTTCCCTGAATAACTTACGACTTCCCTGCAGACTTGCTTGTTCACAAAGAAGCAAGTTAAAGAATTGATTTTAAGATGATACAGGAAAATCGAGGAATAAAACTAATGCTTAGATTTATATTATAGTCCCCACCCCCCAAAGTGCCCCAGGACCATCCTGAGAAGGTATTCCTAGTAACAACTAGAATGGAGCACAGAGACTACTTTTAAAACTGCTCCAGGCGTAAAATAAAAAAGCAAACAGTAGCCCTAAACGGTTTGGCTCAGTGGATAGAGCTTCAGCCTGCGGACTCAAGGGTCCCAGGTTTGATTCTGGTGAAGGGCATGTACCTTGGTTGCGGGCACATCCCCAGTAGCGGGTGTGCAGGAGGCAGCTGATTGAGGTTTCTCTCTCATCGATATTTCTAACTCTCTATTTTTCCCCCTTCCTCTGTAAAAAATCAATAAAATATATATTAAAAAAAATAGAAAATAAATAAATAAACAAACAAACAAACAGTAGTCAGCCAGCTGTGACCATCTGTTGGGGGAAGGAGGGAGACTATGGGTACATTTAGCAAATTATAATCACTCAGTATGGTTCTAGGCCAAGAATAAATGCAAATATCGTAAAACTAAGTGATAAGTGAAAAAAAATCTCAGGTTTATGTGTGATCTGAGTAACACTGCCTCTATCCACAATAGCAATGACCCACCCGTTTCCCTACCCCCGTCCCCTCCCTGTCCCCAGGGAGATGTTGGGGAAACAGCAGGTACTGATTAAAAGGAAAAGACGCTTCCACTAAGGCATCTATCCAATCCCACCCGAATGCTCTCTGAGGGTCTGACTTCAGCCTGCGTCACTCAACTTAGCAGGCGATGCTGGGAGGGATTCCTCGCCCACATGCTGAGGAAGAGGAGGACTGGCACAACACAGGAAGTGGTCACTAGATAGTAGGCTAAGCCTGGAAAGGAAACTGCCAACTATGTTCAAGTTACATTTACCTTCAAGCCCCTCCTCCTCTTCCTCGTCTTCATCCTCATCCTCACTCGAATCACTGACCTGCACAGTTATGTCAGTGCTGGTTACAGGGGTCCAGTCAAAATAAACTCCAAAGCCAATGTCATAGTCATCGGTGGCAAACTCCCAGCAGACACGCTTCCCCTCTGGATGGGTAGGAACCCGGATGGTCACCACCTCACCCCGCTTCACCACCAGGCAGCTGTTCTTCTCCTTGCCCAGCTTGCTTTTGAATTCCTTCATCTTGGCAAAGGTCCAGATGCAGGGAGGAGCCATCAGCGGTGGGGAGACTGAAAGGACAGGCAGCTTACTACAAAGGAACCAGGAGGAAATGCTGCCATGCCTGGCATTTGCTTAGGGAGGTTGTCATAGTCAAAGGCATTCTTTCTACTGGCTTTTTTTTTACTTCCTTTCACAAGTTACTTTCTTTCTTCCCTTCCGACTCATCTGTCTGCCTGCCTTTCTTTTAAGTACCCGCTGGAATCAGAGAAACCACCCCCCAAAGGTCTTACCTTTCCTGTGGTCCCCCAGAAGATCTGCAGATTCCAAGTCAGCCGAAAGAATATCTATAGCTCCCGTGTGCTCAGACTGGATCATAACAATGTCCCCAGACCTCTGTGGAGCTTGATATTTGGCCATCTGCACAACAATTCCAGTTAGAGGACATGTTAGAGTGGCAGATCCCAGTTACCTCCACTCTCCCAACTCTGAGCTTAATGTGCTAGTCACCATCCCTTCTCTTTCTTCCAGCTACAGGTTGTTAATAAATTCTAATTACTTTAATGCCACCAAAGTGTTCCCTAACTTAAAGATGTGTTCTCTCCTACCCTTTGGAACTTACCCACTCAAGACACTTTATAGAATCCTTGCCCACACATCCTCAGAGCTTGCTCCTGACTTGTGCATCAGCAGCTTCTCTGGGCCATGCCTCGGTCTCAGCTTGGTCTGCACAGTACCTCCCTACAGTGTCACTCATGACAGCTCTTGCCCCCAGGGTTTAGCTCAACTCTCATTCCGCCACACAGTCCTCCTGCTACAGTTCCCATTCAAGGGTCCCTTCCAGGCCACTGTCAATCAATTCGCTAAAGCACTGCAGAGAGAATCCAGTTTGTTGTCTCTTTCTGTCCGTCTATCTTATCCTATCGGTTGTCTCATCCAGCATCAGTGTTCTATAAATAATTATAACTTCCCCTTAGACCAGCCCCAGAATTTGCATTTACACGGTGTATTTGCTGTCAGACATCTAACCTGCATGGAAGAGTGCAAATGTCACTCGATACTCAAAGCCCTCGACAACCCATGCAGGAGCCTGCACTCTCGCCTGACTGGGTCTCACTTCAAATCACTCAGATTAGGGTTCCTCTGTTTCATGCTATTACGCCTGAATTTCCTGCTCCTTTTACAAGCAGTTGGCAGGTAACACAAGTAGTGTACCAGTACCTACTGCCAACATGGGAGAACACATCAGTGAGACAGCGGTCCAGTTAAGAGACCAGAATTATATTTGCAAAAAATAAATAAATTTTGTAACCTCCCAAACTATATTCTCATACTACCCATTTCTGGAGAATAGTCTTTCAGTTCTTAACTCCATTACTAAATGAAGTGAATCAGACTGTGGCTAACTTGCTTAAATGAGTCCTTCCTTTTCCAGAAGGCTAAACAAAGGATTTAGCTTGAAACTGATTAGCTACAAAGCCTTAGTAAAGTCACTAATAGCTCTTAGCCTCAGTTTACTCATCTGTAAAGTGGGGATATATGGTACCTATCTCACAGGGTGGTTCTCAGGGGTAAATGAAGCATTGTGAATAAAATGCTTTATAAAATCTAATGCATTATACAAATGTAATTATAATGTTTGCCATTGTCTTTACTGACACTAATACCATTTGTTATTATAATATACACTCGTGCCCGGTGCATGGAATCGTGCACACTAAAAGGAAATTAATTAGAAGGTGGCCCATGGGGTAGGACTGGGCGAGATGGGCTGGACATGCCCTGGAGTCAACCTCCTGTGGTCCCTCTCTGGCTGGCTACACCTGGGGTGGCACCACAGCTCAAAGGGCAGCACCACAGTTCAAAGGGCGTCTGCGCAGTGAGCAGGGTCCCTCCGGCAGGTGGGGTCCCTTGGCCTGGCCTGCGGTGATCAGGCCGAAACCAGCTCTCCAGCATTCCCCAAGGGGTCCCAGATTATGAGAAGGCGGTACTTGGGTGACATACCCTGGAATCGGGCTCCCTTCTCTCTGGTTCCAGGGTGTGTCACCCAAGAACCGCCACTGCCAAGTCACTGCAGCTCAGCAGCTCCTGCGTTTAGCATCTGCCCCCTGGTGGTCAGTGCGTGTCACAGCTACCGGTCGGATGGTTGGATGGTCGCTTAGTCTTTTATATATACAGATGTTAGTAATGATATAAACAACCTATTATTCCATGGCAGAACACCACTGCTATCAATGCCATTTCTATAGAAGCTTTACCGTAGATCCACCACAAGATAAGTGAGAGTGAAACACAGTCCAATGGTTTAGGCTCCTCACATTGAGGAGATTCTAGACAACATGTAAACATTCTTTCTAACGCTTCATTTTTTAAATAGGTGCCTACTGATGCACTGAGGGCCCTGTGGAAGATAATACATGATCAATCGCCAAGTAACTAAAAATGAGATGCCCAAAAAGAGCAAAGAGAATTCTGGGAGCCACCCACAGTGCTTTCTAATTCCAGCCCATCCATATATACCTAGGTTCTGGTGCTGTAAACTCCTCCTTTTGAAAGAGAGAGTGAGAATGAGCTTCCTACCTTGTTGAGGACCTGGCCCTGGTCTGTAGGCCGCAATTTCTGTTCCACCAAGGCCTGAGCCTCCAAGGCACTGGCTGCTTTCCGAAGATCTTCCGCGGCATCCTCACTCACTGGAGGTACCATCTGCGGCCTCTCAGAGGAAGACAACATGTTATTCAAAAACTCTTTTAAAAGCCACACTAGCTCTGGAGAAATTCAGCAATAAAACACACTTCAAAGGACACACCCACACCCCTTGCTTTCCTCTGGCATTCAGGTCTCCTATCAATTTAGCTGACCGCTGCCCAGGGCTGAACAAGGCCACAATAAAGTGGTGACAGTACATGAGGGCCCACAGACGGACAAAGCCACACCCCAGGCTCCAGGAGCCATGGTAAATACATAGCTCAGTCATCTGAGATGGACTGCAGGTCTGGTTTTATTCCTCTCTCTGGGACCCATGCTATTTGTTCCACATAGAATTTCAACCAGAGATAGAATCTCAGTACACATAAAGTCACCGGTTAAAAGCAAAAAAATGAATTGATCGTTAAGACAAAGAAAATGCAAACTGATTAGCAAGGCAATCCCTGTCCACAGTTATCCCAGGAGCAGGGTTTCAGCATTGCCATCACACAGCCTACCTTTTGCAACCCTGTCACAGATCTCCATAGTGCACCCAACTCACAGGGTACTAAGAATAGGTAATCAATCGCTTTCTTTTCTTTTTAATCTATTATCCTGATGGCTTGAACTATATATATTTGAATAGTTATTTCAAAGAAGCAAGAAAATAATTATGCTCGCTTCCATCTTCCCTGGCTTCCAGAGAGACTAGAGAGTGTGTGAAGCGCCAGGGCTGCAGCACAACATCCAGGTCTCTTGGGAATGATCCGTTTCTGACAAGAGGAGGCATGGATTCTTCAGAGCAGCAGTTATCAAAGTATCTTGCGGAATCCCTGGGTCCTTAAAACTCTTTCATGGGAATCTGTGAAGTCAAAACTTCTTCATAAAAATTCTAAAATATGATTTGTCTTTTTTCATTGTCATCTTCTCAAGAGCAGTGGAGTTTCCTGGAGGCTACATGTGATATTGCCACAGAATGAATGCAGAAGCAGATCTGAGAACCCAACTGTCTTTTGTTATGCAGACATTACAGAGACTTACGGCATCTCTCTTCCCACTAAATTATTTTTGCTTTGGAAAACAGTTGTTTTTCATTAAAAACATGTTATTTATATTAATATGTAATGAGTTTGTTATTGTTCTTTTTAAATGAATCAGTAATAATTTTTTTAATTTTTCAGTTTTAATTTCTAATATAGTAAACATTGATAGATACAACCCACATAAATAAAAATTCTTTGGGGCGTAAAGGTTTGAGAACTGCTGCTTTAGGGCATCATTTCCTCTGAGTAAATGACTGGGGAACAGTACTTTTAACCACATGGGAAAGAGAGGGCTTATTTTGGAGCTTGTCAGTTTCTTTTTTCTTTCTTTTTTTCATTTTCTTTCTTCCTTTCAATGCAAACAAGAAAACCCACTCCTAGCTTATAAACTATCTCTTCTTTAGATAAAACAGAGCCATCTTTTGAAATATCCTAGTCACTCCAACCTCCTTCAGAATAAACAAGAGGTAGTTATTATGAAAATTAGCTATGGATACTGTTGATTTTTATGGATTTGCTTGAGTAATCCTGTGTGAATTGTAAATTGACCTATGTGTGAGTCTATTTTATCCTCTTAAACCCAGAAATTACAGTCCATTTCTTATTTCTTGACACTATTAGGTGAGCTTGGTAACAAGGACTGGTCTTACTCCCTCTTGTATGCACAGTGTCTGCTCCCAAGCCTGTCACATAGAACCCTAAGGCCCTTTGCACTCTGACCCTAGGAGTTGCACTCTGACCCTATCTCTCCTAGAATGACCCCCTCTCGCCTTGCCCAATCCACTCCAGTCACAAGGGCCTCCAAATGTCTTGAGAATCCCCATCAGTTCAAGCACTCTCCCACTTGAGGGTTTTTCACCTGCTGTCACCTCTGCCTAGAATCCCCTCCCCTAGTTACCTTCTGGCTTCTTCCTCAGGTTCCTGCTCAGCCATGACTTTTGGGAGTCCTCCCAGATGTCTGAGTATAAAATGGCTCTCCCTTCCTTGGTCCATCACGCTTTGCCCCCTCTCCCCCGCTTCACTTTTTCTCGCTGCACTCATTACTGCCTGACATATTATGTACCATATTTTGTTGATTGTAAGATGCATATTTGTTTTCAGATTTTAACACAACTGAAATATGGGCTGTCCTAAAAATTGGTGATGTCTTCAAACTGCCTGGGGCCTGGGCTGGCATGAGTCCCTCCACAGAAGAAGTGCATCTGCTCTGCCAGGGTGCGGGAGCCCGGGAGCACTACCAACGGAGTCGGAGTTGCCTTGAGGTTCTGTTTAAGGGTTTGTTTAGACCAGACAGGCAGAGTGAATTTAGGAAACAAACTGGTGACTACAAACTTGTGGCTCGTATATTCGGGGGACATATTTTGCCCTGCCCTCATCAGTGCCAAGGCTGAGACTTTCACGGTTCCCTGTTGTCCTTTGCTGTGTAGGCGATTTCCCCCTCATTTGTCTTTTCACGGAAGGTGCAGGCTTTTGTTGAGCCAGAGCTCGGGGGGGGGGGGGGGGGGGGGTCTCTTATTAGACTCACTATCGGGCATTTTTTCTTTCTTGCTGGTACATGAAGTAGCAGTTCATCTTACAGCTGATGGCAACTTAGATTCCATGAAATAGATTCTTAATTCTACGGTATACTTGTTTTCTGCCTGCCTCCCTCACTAAAATATAAGCTCCATGAGACCAGAGACTTGGACTGCTTGTTCATTTGTGGCATCTTCAGTGCCTAGGACAGTGCCAGGTACACAGCAGGCTCTCAATAAATATCTGTTGCATGAATAAACAGCAGCCCCCCCCAATCATTATTTGTTGAATGAATGTTAATTTTCGTTTGGGAACAGAGGAGGAATATTTGGAATGTGAGGAGATGAGAGTTAATCTGACCATTAGCCTGCCCTTATGGTATGTGGCATCTAAAATTTAGTGTCTTTGCCTTTGTGTATACTACTTTGCACAAATACGGTTCTGTTTATTTAAAAATATATCTTTTACACAGGACATGCACCAGCCACATGAATTTAACATTCACATTAGCATTTTATGCTCTGAAGAATATCAGTGAAAGGTATTTTGGGAAAGATGAATTGCAAATCACTTGATGCCAGTGATAAACCACGTAAAGAAAACACTCCCACTGTAAGCCTTTGGCTGTGCTGACCCGGAACAGGCAGGCCATTCCAAAGGGAGGGGCCGGCAGGGCCAGCCCAGGGCCAGCCTCACTAGAGAAGATAGAGCGTTCTGCCGTTTCCGTTCCCAGTACACACAAAACACAAACACTAAACTTCAGGCACTAATTATCATGATTGCGGAGGTTTTTTTTCTTCATACACTAGATTTTAGAAAAAAACTTTAAAATTAAATTTTCTTTTTTCTTAGAACGTTCTATATTCCTCACTCAAAAAAAATGTATTTATTCTTAGGAGGAAAAATCAGTTCTGTGCCAAAACCCATCCCCCAAAGATCCTTCAACTCAACAGAAAAAGGGTGGTGGCAGGATGGAAAGTTCTCCTCAGGGGATTTGATGAGAACATGAAATATCTCAAATAACCAAAGCCTGAGGAGGCTATACCTTCTAAAAGGAGTGTTATATACAGTAACCTAGTAGCTCTAAGCATAGAACTCAAAACCCTTCTATCCGTATTTATGAGACTAATCCTTAGAATCAAACAAAACTAAAGCTAGGTAAATTGGAGCAAGTTACTGAATTCACTGTTTGATTTTCCTAATCTGAAAATAAACAATAGGTATACTTATTTAATGAGAGTTGCTATGAGGATTAAATGAGATCACACATTTTAACACCTGGAATAGTACTGAGCAAATATAAATATTCAATAAAAAGTGGCAATTTTATCATTATTACAGAAAAAGATTCAATGAAGTGTGGCTATTATTATCAGCAACTATATTAATCATTATCTTTCATCATCTAAATTCTGGGGGGAAGAGTTTTATTTCATATACAAAGGTGAGAAGAAAGAACTTCTACTCAAGAAGTCATAGAATTTTGCCCAGCTGGTGTAGCTCAATTGGTTGAGCATCATCCCATTCTGCTTGACAACACTGTGCTATTCCCTGATCGTGGACTATGATATCCACTAGCGAAAGTTCTCCAAGATACAGTTTTTCATTAACTATTCCATTAATATTTCGTGTGTCCACTCATTCTAGGGCTCAGTACAACTTTCTGCTATATATTCTAATATCACTGATGGTGGGGGGATGAGATGGACAGAGAGGGAAATTAAGAATGATAACTTGAAGGTGATCATAATGGTTGAATCTGAAAATTACATAATAAAAACACTGCTTCCAATAGTGTATGTGTATGTGTATGTGTGTGCATTTTATGAATAAAAACCAAACACATATTTTCTTGAGAGCTTGTTTGGAGGTTCTAACAGGGGAGCGCAGCTACTCGTATACCCTTCACCGAAGACCAGTCCTCTCCTGGGGGTGGGGAGGGGCGCGGGGGGAGGTCATCCTCTTCAACCGAGCGCGCAGCTTCGGGAGGGACGCTCATGGATCGGTGAGGGAGGAGGGGGACACCCGCCTAGCCAGCCAGATCAGCCAAATCAACCCTGGCGATCAATGGGGTGACAGATGTCGCAGCCAGATCGCCCTCACATCCAAACACATATTTTCTTGAAAGTCCACCTGGGACCCATTTCAAATGTTTTCACATTTGAACATAGTCTTCAAGAGAGCATAAATAAAGACACTACACTGTTCATTACAGTTTTATTTTCTGAGAGTAAAAGAACATTTTATAACTTGAAATAGATCTGGCATTGCCCTAAATACACTTAAGGGTTGATTAATTAATGGCAAAACCATTCACTTGTCTTCTCCCTTGATATCACTGTCCACTTCTTTCATCAATCCCTTATCTCAGAAGAGAAAATCTCTAGAAGCATTTATCCAAAGCAGTTGCTGTCCCTACCTGTACAGTGAGGAATGGGGCTCTGGATCAGAGGCAGAAGCCACTGGAGAGATGTCCTTGGTGTTTTCTAGATCTTCATTCTCTAGAAAATTATGGAAAGAAAAACAATATCTAAGAGGGAACACAACCATAATTATCTTGTATCTTTTTTTAAAATCTGGCAGTTTCAAACAACTTTCCATTTCCAAAAATATTCTGGGCATAAACTTTATACTCTGGGAGGCTCAGTACATAAATTATTCAAGTCATCACATCCAAGTATTTTCAGATAGTCATAACCCATTTATAAAAAAGTAAGTCTTTTTCCAAAATAAGTACCCACAGAATTAATTCTAACTCAAGAACCACTATTTCTCAGAAAGCAGATGGTTAAAATTAGGCAAGAAATATAGTGCACAGTGAGATGTAGAATGAAATGAACTGTAATTCAGTGCCAAAGTATACAGTGCCACCTCTATCTATATATATAAAAGGCTAACATGCAAACTGTCCACTCGGGAGTTCGACTTGGAGGGCGCGAGTTCAATCACTTGCTATGATGTGCGCTGACCACCAGGGGCAGCACAGAATATGGCGGGTAACCAGCGGCAGTGGCAGGATGCTGAGGGAGCGAGGAAAGGAGGCGGCGGGGAGGCCAGGCCTAGGGACCCTACCCTGCACGAACTTCATGCACCAGGCGTCTAGCATCCAATAAGCTCAGATCACTGTATCCAAGATCAGGTAAAAGATTTTTTGTAATTTCATTCATTTACTAACTCGCTCATTCACCAATAACTTACTGAATACTGTTAGACACCTTCAAGGAGTATAGTGAAGTGCATAATAAAGGTTATGGTCCCAAGCTCACAACAAGCCTATGGCTGGTATTATCATTGCCGTTTTCAGGTAAGGAAAAGAAGGCATAGAGACAAGATTCAAAGCCAGGCAGTCATGCTCCTAACCATTAGGTGATACTTGGTTTTGTGGTTTATTCATTTAGCCTTTCCTTGAGCACTCAGATATTAAATAACCCTTGGTTTAACCTCTTCTGGCTAAGACTGAAGTCTAAAGTTCACTTCTCAATTCAAAATTCAATTTACTAAATCAAACCTCAAACCCTGAAAGTTTCAGAGTTTAGGGGACAACATAAAAGTGCAAATGACAAGCATATATTTGTGATTCAATTTTAATCTAGTCTCAATTTTTCTATGTAAATAAGACCTGTTTTTCTTTTCATCAATCCCCACTCTCATAGATAGAAAAACCTTAGAGCTTATGCCACGCAATTTTCCTCTTGTAAGATAATAGGAAATATATATTAGTCTCTGCCCCTGGTTCCTAACACAGAATTCCCAAAACCCTTATAATTTCTTAAGTGACAAAAGCACTGGGAACATCTTTTGTTCTAATATTTGGTCTTTGATCCCAGTTGCTGACACTGAGTTCCTAAATCCCTGGGCTGGGTGATCGTAGTGTCTTTTGTTCTAATGAGGTGACGCTTGGTGGGCTCCTGGATGGGGGCCCATGCACCAAAGGGCCTCGGGTTGAATTCCCGATCAAGGGCATGTACCTCACCTCAGTTGCAGGTTTGTTCTGCCCCAGTCGGGGAACATGGGGAGGCAACCAATTGATGTTCTTCTCTCTCTCTCTCTCTCTCTCTCTCTCTCTCTCTCTCTCTTCCTCACTCCTTCTCTCCCTTCATTCACTCTCTCTAAAAATCAATGGAAAAAAGTCTCCTCAGATTAACAACGAAAAAAGGATAGTATCCTCTATTATCTCTATTTAGGAGCTTATTGTATTGCCTTTCACATTTTTAAAAAATATGTTTTTATTGACTTCAGAAAGAGGGAGAGGGAGAGGAGATAGAAACATCAATGATGAGAGAGAATCATTGATCGGCTACTTCCTGCAGCACTGGAGATTGAGCCCGAAACCCAGGAGTGTGCCCTGACCAGAAATTGAACCATGACCTCCTGGTTCATAGCTCGACGCTCAACCACTGAACCACATTAGCAACTTTCTCATTTTGATCTACAGTCCAACTAGATTTTTTTCTTTCCTTCTCTTTTCTCTTAGGATATCCAGTTGCCCCAGCAACATTCACCATTCTCCCCCCACTACTTTACAGTACAATCTTCGTTGCAAATCAAAGCTTTATCCTATTCCTAGGACCTATGACACTGTTGTGGAAAGCTTCAAAATAAGTCTTGATACCTGCTAGAGCAAATCTTTCCATCTTATTCTTACTAGTGTCTTTGCTATTTGTGGCCTTCGCTTCTACATATGTTTTAGGACCAGCTTGTCAAATTCCAAAAAGGCCAAAACCCTGCTGGGATTTTTATTGGGGTTAAATTTTACCTATAAAGTCAGGGAGAATTGACATCTTTTCAATATTGGGTATTTCAATCTAAGAATATGTTATATCCTTCCATTCATTTAGATATTCTTTATTATCTCTCAATAATCCCTTATAATAAAAGCGTAATATGCTAAGTGTCCGACCATTCATGAGACCATTCGTTCAACCGTTCCACCAGTCGCTATGAGGCACTCTGACCACCAGGGAGCAGGCACTCCAACCGGTAGGTTAGCTTGCTGCTGGGGTCCTGCCGATGGGGACTGGGAGAGACAGGCAAGATATGCCCTGGAGCCCTCCTGCAGTCCCTCCCCAGCCAGATAACCTCCTGTGGATTGCGAGAGGGCACAGGCCAGGCCGAGGGACCCCCACCGATGCACAAATCCGTGCACCAGGCCTCTAGTATATTATAATCTTCTGCAGAAAGACTTTGAATACAACTTGTGATATTTATTCCTCATATTTTTACTCTGTGGTAAACATTTTATTTACTTTGTTGCTGATATATATAAATGCAATGGAATTTTGCATACTGGCTCTGTATCTAGCAATCTGGCCAAACATTAATTCAAATAACTTATCTGTAGGTTCTTTTGGATTCTCCATGTACATAGTCATCATCTGAAAACAACAGATTTAACAGGATTTCTTTCTAATCCTCATATATTTTATTTTTCTTGCCTGACTATACTAGTTAGAATATCCAGTAAAATAATAAATAGTAAGTGGTGAGAGTGGTTACCCTTATCTTATACCCAGTCTTAAGAAGAAAACTCTCAAATTTCACCATTAAGTTTTATGTTGCTTGTAGGCTATTTGTAGATATGCTTAATCCAGCATATAATGAAATTTCCTTTTATTACTAGTTTGATAAAAGTTTTGGCCGAAACCGGTTTGGCTCAGTGGATAGAGCACCGGCCTACGGACTGAGGGGTCCCAGGTTCGATTCCGGTCAAGGGCATGTACCTGGGTTGCGGGCACATCCCCAGTGGGAGATGTGCAGGAGGCGGCTGATCGATGTTTCTCTCCCATCGATGTTTCTAACTCTCTATCTCTCTCCCTTCCTCTCTGTAAAAAATCAATAAAACATATTAAAAAAAAAAAGTTTTGAATCATAAATAGAGGTTAAATTTTACCAAACACTTTTTCTGCATCTATTAAACTGATAATTTTTATACTCTGGTGTATTAAAATGGTGATTTACAGGCTTTAAAAAAATGTTAAAATAACTTTTCATTCCTGGAAAAACCCAACTGGGTCTTATATAATGTTGGATTCAAAGTTAATATTTTATTGATGACTTTTTGCATCTATGTTAATGAGTGAGATTAAACTGGGATCTCATCTGGGATAATTTTGATGCTGCCTGAGTTAGTTATTCCTCTGGTACAGGTGTGAAGATGATAAAACCTGTATTTGATTGTCTGAAAATATCTTTATTTCATCTTCATTCTTTTAAAAAATATATATGTTTTTATTGATTTCAGAGAGGGAGAGAGAGATAGAAACATCAATGATGAGAGAAAATCATCTATCAGCTGCCTCCTGCACACCCCATACTGGGGACGAGCCCACAATCTGGACATATGCCCTAACTTGGAATCAAACTGTGACCTCCTGGCTCATAGGTCTACACTAAACCACTGAGCCACGCCAGTCAGGTTCATCTTCACTCTTGAAGACTTTTCACTTTACCGGGGGGAAAAAGTTCTATATCAATAGTTTTTTCTTTCACTATTTTAAAGATAATCTAGCTCTCACTGCTCTGTACAGAAATCAGCTTTCAGTGTAATCACTATTCCTTTAAAGGTAAACTGAGGGACATCTGTAATTATCTGAACAATAAAGATTTTTTTTAAAAAAAGGTAAATTGAAATTTTTCTCTGGCTACTTTTAATATTTCCTCTTTGGTTTTACAGCAGTTTTACTTAATGAATATCTACTGTATATTTCATTGTACTGATACTGCTTGAGGTACATAGAGCTCCTTGAATCTGTAGATTGCATTAGTTTTGGAAAATTCGCAGCTATTCTCACCAAACATTGCTTCTATCCATTCTTGCTCTGAGTTCTCACCTTCTAGGATTTCAATTATACATATATTAGACCTTCTCACATCCTCTATCTCTTATCTCTCTCCTGAATTTTCAATGATTTCATTTTTATATATTTCCTTCTGGATATGTTGTTCTGACCTTTCTTCCAGTTCACTATTCTCTCTTCAAGTGTAATAGCTTGTTGCTAAACTCACTTAAAGTTCTTCATTTTTATTCAGTTATTGAATTTCTATTTGATTCTATTTTTATAAATTTCAATTCTCTGACAAATTTCTCAAAGTTTTCTCTCCTTGAACATAATAAATATAATTATTTTTAAGTCTGTATGTGGTAACTCCAAAATCTGGTATCTGTATTAATCCACTTTTACTGTTTGTTGTTCACATATCTCTTCTCGTGCATCTAGTCATTTTGATATGTGGCAGAAATTGTCCTTGCAAAACTATTTGTAGAAATAATTTGAAGCCTACAACGATCCTTCAGAGATTTGCCTTACTTCTTCCATGTACTTAGGGGCACAAGTACCCTGCAGTCACCTTAATCCAATTACATGAACTTAGTTGTATCTGAGCTGAGCTGTAGTCCCTGCAATGGCCTACTTCTAATCTTCCCTTAATTCTAGAACATGGCCTTTCATGGTCCTAACCCAAAGGAAAGGGGATTCCCCAAGATTTCCCCTGCTTGTCTGGT